AACCCTAGGTAAACCCTCCACCCAGTCCCAACCCCAATGCATCCCCCACCCACGTCAATTGCACCCCGCAAGTTTGGTTGACTTTGATGTCAAAATGTTTGACTTCAAAGTCAACTAAACTTGTTGGGTGCAATTGACGTGAGTGGGGGGTTTAATTGGGGGTAGAGGGTAGGAACCATCAATTTTAAAAACGAAACACCGTAGAGGGGCAATGGCTTCAATGGCCACTCAAAAGGAGTGGCCATGGAACCTAGCCGTAAGTTCTAATGTGATACAATGACATTAGTATGACATTAGCAACTTAAGGTCTGTTTGGTTTGTAGCCTCAAATGCCCTAAATTAGTAGCCAAGTATCATCACAACCTCATCATAATCACAATAATAACAATGTCTCAACTACAAACCTGCTGTTTTATTTCAGAAAAATAATAGAAAAAGCATACCTCCTCAACCTTTGAGAAAAATTATTGTAAAGCCAAATGGCTACCAGCTCAAGTTAATTGCCCCAGACCATTTTTCGAGAGTAAATTTTATGGGTAAAACCATGTATGTGATCATTCATAACTTGCAAAAGCTTTAGCTTTATAGAGTTAACGGAGAATAAAAAGTTAAATCTGTTTGTCTTCCTCTCTTAGAGGAAAGAAAGGTGAAAGGGCGGAAAGAAAAGTGAAAGGGCTGTTTCATTTATTCAGATGGAAATAGAAACATCGTGGCAGAGGAGAGAGGCAACTGCCCTTTCAAGAAACTCCCATCTCCTTCCTCTTCACTGTTCCTACTTTCCATATATATAAAACGTTCTCTTGTTGAGGCTCAGAACTGTGTTTCCACGCGCCAATGAGAAGCCTCCATAGCCATGGCTGCAATATTCTGGTCATTTGGAATTGCCTCGCCATAGTACGGATTGTGTCCTCAAAATGCTGCAAATCAGTACAACCAGTATCATCAAAGCCTTGTTAGAGTCAACAATACATTGTTTCCACTGAGTGCTGCTGTTTTAGTTACAAAATCAAATACAAAATGGCAACTTCTATTTTTGAGTAAAGTTCCTCTAAAGCCGAGCGGCTAGCAGTTTTAGTTGATTGCTCAATACAATTTTGAAAGTGATTTTTATGGGTGCCAAGGGAGAAGGAACCAACTCAACCCAAAGCTCAAGGTTGTGGTTGTAGGCCGAGAAACGGTTTTCATATTCTAATAATGGTACAAAAATATAAGTAGTCGTTCATAACTTGGTAGCCTGATATCATCACAGCCCCTACACACATACAGTGTATATATTTGTGTGTATATAATCTCAGGGGAAAAAAGGAAGCACTCCATTTTAAAAGGTTGATAAATGAAAATGGCAAAACAATAGAGCCAAAATTAGTTTGTTGCTTCTGTTTTTCAAATAAAGGACTGAAAATATAAGCCATAAAATTGTCAAACTAAAAATATTCACCCACGAGTTTTCGTGAAGGTACACGATGCACAGATGAAGGTTGACACTCATACTTTGTCACAAAGCTCGCAGAACATGTAACTTGATCATTCTAGAGAGAGAAGGAACCATAAAATACCTACAAAATCTTTTAGATATATGTCTAGACTTTGGAGTTAGAAAAGAAATTCAAATAAAACATAAATTACTAAAAATCCTTAAAGTCCTTATTCACTAGAGCCCAAGGTTGTTGGCACCACAAAATCTATTAAGCTGGTAGCCACATCCTACTAAGCAATCAGCTCCCCATTTTCTAACAGACTTACCAGTTAGAACATCAAACCAATTCCAAAAAAACAACTCTGCAAGTTATTAGGTAAGGAGATATCAAGACAATATGCACAAGTTATTAACTCAGAGTGTCGGTTGCCAATGGAGGTGAGTCCTTACTGAAGATAATGTCTTAGCTTTGAGTAAATACTAGACTACACCATAATGGCAAGTCTTACTTCAGTTGCTTCTTACTTTCTATGAAGTGAGGAGAAGAAAATGTTTTGTTTTTGTAGTTGTAAGTTATTAACTATCAAGAATTTAAGAAATGACCATATACAAGGTCATCTCAAAGTTAATATCCCAGAGACTGAAGGAGTTTCTGCCCCACTTAATAGATTTGAACCAAGGAGCTTTTGTTAAAGGCAGAGAACTGGTCCACAATGTGTTAATTTGCCAGGAGATAGCTAAAGGTTATAAGAGGAAAGGAATTTCCCCAAGGTGTATGATGAAGCTTGACATCCAAAAAGCCTACGACTCAGTCAGTTGGGAAGCAATAAGTAGCATATTGTACAATCTTAGGTTCCCCGAACAATTCATCAGTTGGGTAATGTTCTGTGTATCCACCCCAAGCTATACACTAAACGTAAATGGAAGCCACTATGCATACTTTAAAGGAGCTAGGGGATTAAGACAAGGGGACCCTATGTCTCCATTACTGTTTGTGCTAGTCATGGAATATCTTACTAGATCCTTCCAAGCTGCAGTTAATAAGGGTAGGTTTGGGTTCCACCCCTTGTGTGCTAGCATGAAGATAGTGAATCTATGTTTCGCAGATGATCTAATTGTAGTGTGTAAGGCTGAGACCAAGGCTGTGAATTGCATTATGAAGGTCCTCAAAGAGTTTAAATTAGCTACTGGTTTGAGTATTAACTATAATAAATCACACATAGTCTTTGGGGGTATTAATGAGCAGATGAAGGAAGAATTACTGAAGATTACTAAAATGAAAATGGGAACACTGCCATTCACATATCTGGGCAGTCCCATTACGGCTGCCAGGCTATCAGCTAGTGATTGTGATGCGTTGGTACACAAAATCACAACAAAAATAGGAGCGTGGGGTTCAAGGCATTTCTCTTATGCAGCTAGAATCAGAATTATAAACTCAGTGTTGATGGGGATCATTACTTTCTGGTCAAGGATCTTCATTATCCCAAAAGGAGTGTTAAAGAAGGTGACATCAATTTGCAGGAACTTTCTCTGGGGCAGTTCCAGTGACTATAAAAGAACTCCTTTGGTGAAATGGGAAGAGGTATGTCAGAGAAGAAATTATGGAGGGCTGGGACTGAAAAACATATTCAACTGGAACAGGGCCATAGTCATGAAGCTGAATTGGGACATTGCAAATAAAAAGGATGTACTATGGGTAAAATGGATTCATAATAGGTACATTAGAGGGGCTGATTTCTGGAATTATCTACCTAGTAAAGATTCTTGCCAATATTGGAAAGCTATGATCAAAGTTTGAGAGGTATTTAGATCAATGCCAACAAGCAAAGACTACAAAGTGAAGGAGGGGTATAATTGGCTCCAGGCTGAAGGAGCTAAACCACAATGGACAAAATGGGTGTGGAATAAATTCACACCACCCAAATTTCAGGTAGTGATATGGCTGTACATGCGAGGAAAACTGCAGACTAAAGATCGATTGGGGAGATTCCTACCTCTGGATATGAGATGTGGATTGTGTGAAGAGGAGAATGAAACGGCCAAGCACCTATTCTGGGACTGTAAATATGCAAAGTGGGTGATGCAGCAAGTGTTTGATAGATATAACATTGTGTTCCAAGCTAATAGCGTAGAGGAGATGGAAGATACAATGATGAAAGGAAAGAGAAATACCACAAAGATGAAGATTGCAGCTATATGGGCAGCCTGTCTTTATAGTATTTGGAGAGCTAGAAACAAAATAACTCACCAAAACAGGTGTACGGCAGAGGAGGCTAGAGACTATGTTATTAGCTATATAAATTTTTATTTTATGCATAAAAAAGTAAGGTAGCTGATTGTGGTTAGAAGTCTGATGAGTGTGTACAAAACTTTGGAGTTAGTAATGAATTGAGTGTTTTTTGTTCAAAAAAGAATTTAAGAAATGAAAATGACAATGCTCAGCACGATTAATTATAATCACCAA